TTCTCAGATCCCAAAGAACGTTTATCGTGTTAAGTGGAATGTATTTCATATAATTAATATCACAATGTATAAAAATAGATTTTATTTATGATAACCAATAATTAACAAATAATATTATGTAACATGCATGACAATAATCAATGAATATTCAGTATAAAATGGTATGCAATACAAAGAAATGGGTATTACGTTTCAATGGCTAAACGGCATTATCTGTCAAGACTTCTACGATTTATGACTAGCTTTCACAGACTTAAAGTGAAACTTTTCACAGCGAAGAACAGAATTCCTCAGAGTGCAACGTAAGGTCGTAAAGTTTAGCCGACAGTTAGAATAACCCTTTCAATGCTGGCTAGATCTCCTAGGTAGTTAAGATCTATTCTTATGTAATTTTTAAATAAAATAACATTTAACCCAGTTCACTAGTCATTTTCTTAAACCATCCAATAAGAGAATTTAATATATTATATAAGCAGATTTTTAATTCGTCTAAAAGATATCTATCTTAATTTAGAGCAAATCAATACACCTGGATAAAAACAGCGGTATGCTAACACGTGATAATATCACATCCATATACAATTATTCTTAATTCCACCTGCAGAATGGAATATTTATAACTATATATTCTTAGTTAACTAAGATTTCTTAATATGGAAATCTGACCGTGCTTTATCCAGTCATATATAATGCTATTAATACATTTTAATTAATTTAATTTAATTAAATGAAACCAGTATAATTACCAGTTGAGTAGATATTTCATCCGATTGGTAGTCTCTCTGCATGGAGGTGTTGGTTAGAAAGTCAGTAAATTCTAAGTGTTAGAGTTTTAGGAGTAGAGTGTTAGTCTCAGATGTTGTCCGAGTTGGAGTTCCCAAACTTCCAATTCCTCTCTCCTCTCCTTTGCATCTCTTGCATATCTTGCCTCCCTCTCTCGTATATCTCTCTTCCCTTTGTCTTAACTTTTAAAGGGCCAGACTCTCTGTACGTCATCAGTTGATAACCCAATAGAAGCACTAGAGGTGTGGTTATCTTCCAGATCGCAAATTAGTTATTTGGTCTGTAGAGGGCAGTCTTGTCCCACTAAACATACCTATCCAGGAAAGAGTTAACTTTTCCTGGTGGCTATTTTGACGTCATTTTGCTTATCTCAAATGACCACTATAACTTACGTATCCTTCAAAGATCAAAGGGTTTCTTAAATTTTGTCCAGACTATGTGTCTGGTAAATCTGCTATAATTTTTGATATGGCAGATCATGAACTAAGTTTACCCTTTTCCATACAATGGTACCTTATATATATAGACAGTTAAATATTAAATTTAATCTTCTCTGTCACAATTGTCTGGGTTTAGATTTGATTATATTCTTCTTATCACTTGTTTATACTATGCTATGCATTCCTTAGCTCTGGCAAAGAGGCCAGTCTTACAGAAAGAAATCCTGTGTCTCTTTGTTAAGTTGGAATAACAAAATGGAGTCTGGTCTGTTCAGAGTGACTCAGAATATACACTTTTAGTTTCTATCATAGCACAAAATGTCTGCCGATATAAATACTCTGACAAAAGCATTGGATTGGCTAAAAATTTTGCCATTTTGATGATGTCACAAAGGGGGCGGAGGAGCGCCAGTGGACCCACGCAACACTGGAAGGTGGTTTTTAAACTTTTATAGGGGGGGCAAGCCACCTAAATGGTGGGTTTAGCACTATATAGTCGGGAATACATGTTTGTGTTCCTGACCCTATAGTGATCCTTTAACATCACCTGCAAACACCAACTCATTATATCTGTGGGATAGTGTTAAGAGACAAATCTGACCATCCTATCTCTTCTTACATCCATATTGCAGGACAAACTATTCCCACCTGGCTTTACACCCAAATATTTTGTCCGACTTGAGGGTAAAGAGATAACCAGACCAACACACCTCTACATTGATAATACAGTGGTCGACTATTTAGCTATACCAAAACACTCTTCCCTTACTATATTTGATTACGTCTGTTGTGTACAATTACGCAGCTTTGCCTCCTTTCCTGTGACAAGGCAAGCAGGCTCAGCTAACGTAATATCTTCTGAGAAAATAAGCTGAAAAGGGAGAGATATCCACAATATATGACCTGGTAGTGTCACATTACTCACAAATTTCACTGCCATATATTACAATGTGGGAAAGGGACCTGGGTCCTCCTGAGGACTAGTCAGTTATGTGAAAGGACATAGCCTCTCTTTCTATATGCGCAACACACAAGGGACAAGATTATAAAATGCTTTTCTGCTGGAATCTTACACTGTTCAGACGAGCTTAAATGCAAATGTAACCTAATAACCTCTGTTGGAAATTATGTGAAGAACCGAAGACCTTTCTACACTGCGGATAGTCCTGCCCCAGACTTACATCATTGTGGAAACAGGTCACCTCTCTACCTACTCAAGTCCTAGGTAAACCCTATCCAATGGACTCATGGGCATTTAAACCGCTTGACACCTTGACAGAAAACAAATTAACAGCGTGAGTTGCTTTATCAGCTCTTAGGGCCACCGGAGAATTATGGGCTAAAGGAGACATTCCAAGCACGGGTGGAGTTAGGAGTAGGGTAAGGGAACTGCCGAAGTCCCAAATTCCGGAAGTGCCGAAGCGAACCGCCGAATTCCGGTAGTCCAAACGGAACCAATATTTTTGCCCATGCACATCCCTACTGATCATCTCTTTGTCAATTTTTAGAGTGCATATAATGGTAAGGAGGGTTCCAAAGCAACAATTGCAAGATGGTTAACAGAGGCCATTAAGATGGTCTATGATGTCGTAGGTCAACATCTCTCATATCTCTGTGCATATCAAGGCACACTCCTCCTGAGCTATAGCGACCTCTTCTGAGGAAAAAGCATCCTCTTCTGAAGAAGGTATCTGCAAAGCAGCTATATGGTCTTTTCATCCTCAGAAGCTTCTTTCATTCGGGTGCTGCAAAATGCTGTTATCTGACTAACCCACCCATATTTTGAGATCTTGCTATATCCCTCCTGTACTGCCACTACATGAAAGGAAAACCAGAAATTTTACTTACTATAAATGATTTTTTTTCTTTAGTATAGTGGCAGTACAGATTACCCTTCTGTTGTAATAAAGTACTTATAATTTTGCATTATTTGGTCTCCGTATTCTTTATTCTTGTTAAAAATGGGGAGTCAGAATTAGAGCCTATATGTAAGGTATGAAGGGGAGGGGATTTGCATAATTAATTGACATTTTATTTTAGAGGCTACTCATCCAGCTAAAGTTAGAAGATCCCTCCTGTACTGCCGCTAATCTAAGGAAAAGAGAGAGGATCTCTCGTCATATGGTGTTAGATAATAAGCATGTTTCCAAACAATATTAACTAGATAATGGATATATATGGTAGAACAGCACAATATTTGTGCATGTGCAAATTAGCCAAATGTTAATACCAACTAGTAAGTGTTAGATTCTAGATTCACTGTATAGGTAGGTTTTAGTTTTAGCCCATTCAAGACGTTGCCTACGTTTAAGAGTTAAGGGAAACATCAAGCTGTAAACTCCAGTAAACATTTTCGCTAATCAAGGAATAAAGATCTATCTGTGGACGGTTGGTGTGGCCAGTTTTAATACCAGAGAATCAGTATTTATAGATTTACAGCACAAATCAAATGGCAAATACAATAACCACTTAATGGGACACTATAGTCACCCAGACGACTTCAGCTCAATGAAGTGGTCTGGGTGTCAGGTCCCTCAGGTTTTAACCCTTCACATGTAAACATAGCCGTTTCAGAGAAACGGCTATGTTTACATTTGGAGTTAATCCAACCCCTAGTTGGCGCATTCCACCTCCATCACGCAGAGCGTCCATAGGAAAGCATTGAGAAATGCTTTCATATGGACACTTTGAATGCGCGCGCGGCACTGCCGCGCATGCGCATTCGGCTCTGCTGTCGTCAGCGGGGGAGGAGAGGTCACCAGTGCCGAGGGAGCCCGGCGCTGGATTAAGGTAAGCTGCTGAAGGGGTTTTAACCCCTTCAGCGCCACGGGAAGGGGACCCTGAGGGTGGGGCTTTGTTTTCCTGACATTATAGAGATCCTTTAACACATCTTTACAAATAATATGAGTAAACCAGAGAGTCCCCGTGTAAATGAAGAACACCAGTAGTAAACCAAATAAAATGTATATAACAGAAGAGATAGAGAAAGGAAATTGTATGTTTTTTGTACAGTGCAACTTTCAGCCTGCTTGGTAACAGACTCATGTTCATATATAAAAGTATATTATACACATGCTTTCTTCCACATTTAGGCCTTTGATTGACTTTTATTTGTAAAAATTCAGCAAGGTCCTGATAAATGGCAATCTCATTCACAAAGAAAGAAAATCTGGTGTACACAATACAGACTTATGTGGTGTGTTATATACAGTGCCTACAATTTGAAATCCTACGTTACTAGTCTGTATTAAAAGTCACCAGCCACTGCAAGTCCCAGTATGCTCACAGGTGAATTGCCACCTGCCAGGGTAAAATGTTCACTCACTCGTGGCAATGTGTGTGTGTGTATATATAAACGTGGATGGAGCAGAAGTAAAAGGTCAACAAATATGCAAATATGTATATGGGGCGAGTGTAAAGGTAAAAACACATGCATTCACACATTACCATTCTTTCATGCATTCCTATATACCATGTTACAACACATTTTGCTCATGTATGCCAAGTGCATCCATGTATTGAAACACCCAAGTCAAGCACTGATCCACTGCATTCAAACATTTCCGCATACATTCACACTACACACATACAAAGAATACTACACACAGACCTATCTACACATGCAGAATTCAAACACCATACACAGAAACACATATATGCCTTCTCACTCATAGAAATGTGCATATTCACACACTACAGACATAAACAAACATATTAATTTATGCAACACAGCAAATTCACACATTCACTAACATAATAATAACAACATATTGACTTGCATGCATTCATTAGATATGAATATATGAACTTTAAAATGGCCTTTAACATGCCCATATTGCACAGGGAGAGGCTGTATATATACCTTTTCAACATGTACATGCAAATTTACAGATTTATTTATGTAGAAATTGTTTTACATATGTATAATTCATGTATGGTAACAGTTCTACACATGCCTGAGATGCTCTGGAACACATCGAGAGGTTTTACACATACACACAAATCTATAATTCCATACACACAGACCCATATAAATCCTTACTCCTTACTTACATGCTACCCACAAACACATTATATATATGGGCGCCTCAGCATCTTTAGCATGGCGAGCTCTCATTGATGGCTGCTTCGTTAAGCTGTGTGCACCAGCCAGACTCATCACTGAAGTTCTAGTACACAAACTTACTGGGACTTTACTAATGAGGTTAACAAGCGCGCACAACACTGGCAAACACAGTCCCTCAGCCAACCTTCTCAATCACAATACATAAGGGCATGATTGCAGCCCAGGGCATAGAGAGCTATGCATGCGTCTCAGACATACCTCTCTATTCCAGGATAAGTAGCGGTCAGCTATGATAAAGTATTAAGGGGACTGGAAATGGCCCCTGGGCTAGTACTTTGAGATCCTTAATTACAATGAGCATCAAGTCCCTCGATAAAGGGACACTTTACTGCCCAAATACTAAAAATAATCACTGTTTAGTTGATATATGTCCAATTAAAACATGTTTGCATTTAATTATGCATTTTTTCCATTGGGCGTATATCTAAAAACAACTCCCAAGGCTGCAGACCTCTTGTCTGAAGCCTTTGCAAACCCTCCTCCCCTTCTAACCCAGCCATGACTTTCTGTGGCTGTCCAATTACAGACTTCTCAAAGCTACTCAATGGGAAGTTTTGCGTGGCAGGTCCTCTGGCCAGTTGCCTGCCTCTTGAGTTAGGTACATTGAGCTAACCAAATCAGGAAGTTACAAGGCTTGTCTGATTGACAGCTAGGGTGTGTAACAATTGCCAAATTCTATTGAAATCTGCACTTTTGTAAATAGAAGACATACTAATCACATATAAAGCATTTCAGCAAACTCAAGTTCTTTGTGGGTCTGGAGTTTCCCTTTAACGTGTTCAGCAATGGCATAACTAGATCACTTTATCTGATGTTAACCAGGTTCTCTAACATGGTTTGTTTTCCATAAGCATATTTTCATTTCTAAATTGCATTCACCTCATTCATTACATGAAACTGGTTTCTATCATCTGTGAATTCTTTTATGTGTAGTAAGATGTGAAGGCTGGGTGAAACATTTTCCACATTTCAGAGCATTTAAATGGCCTCTCTCCTGTGTGAACCCTTCTATGTAAAGCAAGGTCTGTGGTTCGGGCAAAACATTTCTCACACTCAGTGCACTTAAAAGGCTTCTCTCCTGTATGAATCCTTTTGTGTATTACAAGGTCTGTCACTTGACGGAAACATTTCCCACATTCTGGGCATTTAAATGGTTTTTCTCCCATGTGGGTCATTTTATGTGAAGCAAGTTCTGTAGCTCGCCGAAAACATTTCCCACATTCGGGGCATTTAAATAATTTTTCTTCTGTGTGAACCAGTTTATGTGAAGTAAGACTTCCGGACTGTGTAAAACATTTCCCACATATAGTGCATAAAAATGGCTTTTCTCCTGTGTGAATCCTTATATGTGAAGCAAGATTTGAGGCCTTACTAAAACTTTTCCCACATTCAGTGCATTTGTGTGGATTCTTCCCAGTGTGAATCAATTTATGTGAAATCAGCTGGGCTTGCCAAGTAAAACATTTCTCACATTCATAGCATTTAAATGGTTTTTCTCCTGTGTGAACCCTTGTATGAGACACAAGAGTCGAGGCCTGGCGAAAACTTTTCCCACACTCAGGACATTTAAATGGCTTTTCTCCTGTGTGAATCCTCTGATGCTTTATAAGCACCGACTTTCTATTAAAACATTTCCCACATTCAAAACACAAAAACGTTTTTTCTCCTGTGTGAACTGCGTGATGCGCAGCAAGTCGTCTGGCCTGAGCAAATGCTTTCCCACATTCCATGCATTTAAATGGCTTCTCTTCTGCGTGAACAATATTATGTGAAGCAAGAAGGGTTTGCCGACTAAAACACTTTCCACACTCTGAGCATTCAAATGGCCTGTCTGCAGTATGAATCATTTTATGCACAGCAAGAAACTTGGCCTCGGTAAAACCTTTCCCACACTCTGTGCACTTAAATGGCCTTTCCTCGGTGTGAATCAGCTTATGCATAGTAAGACGTCTGACTTGGGTAAAACCTCTCCCACATTCAGAGCATTTAAAGGGTTTTTCCCCAGTGTGAACCATTTTATGAACGGCAAGCAGTTTAACTCGGGTAAAACCTTTCCCACACTCTGGGCATTTAAAGGGTTTTTCCCCAGTGTGAACCATTTTATGAACGGCAAGCAGTTTAACTCGGGTAAAACCTTTCCCACACTCTGGGCATTTAAAGGGTTTTTCTCCAGTGTGAATCATTTTATGAGATGCAAGCAGTGATGCCCGAGAAAAACCTTTCCCACATTCAGTGCATATAAATGATGATTTCCCTTGTGTTAATCTTTTCATTTAAAACAATATCAGACTTGGAAAATAAAACATTCTTCGTACCAGAAAAAGCCATTTTGTTTCCATTGTGAACGGGTAGCTGTTTGACAAGTTCCAAGTTACCATCACAATTCACTTGATAATCAGAACAATGAGATATTGCTTGTGTATCGGATGCGGGTTGTCGAGATTGTTCCATAATAGAATCAGTTCTCCCTGGTTCAGTAAGGGGACTGAAAGAAGCGCTGTTTGAAGTATGTAAATCATTCAAAGAACATTTGTTAAAACGTAATGCATCTTCATTCTCTGTATATTCTGGAAGAGGATAGTTGTGTTCTGTAGGAACCACTTTACAGATAGTGGATTCCTTGTTAATACAAGTAGATGTACATTCAATCAGTGTCTGTTCTGTTGGTGTGTAAGTGACAGTAACTGGGAGATTTTCTTCTGCAAATGAGGCAGATTGCTCTTTAACACAAGTCAATATATTATGTTTCTGTGTATGATCTGAAGTTATTTGAATCTCAGTATGAGGAAGATTACATCCTTCCAATGAGGTGGATTCCTCTTTAATCAGAGTAGGTGTATATTCTGTTTGTGTAGGTTCTGTGTTTGTATAAATGTCGGTGTCGGTGAGATTTTCTTCTTCACATAAGCCCGATTCCTCCTTACTATGAGTAGATGGATGTTCTGTCTTTGTAATTTCTCTGGCTGTATAATTGTCAGCAACTGGGGGATGTCTATCTTCACATGAAGCCAATTGCTCCGTAATATGAGATGACGCATATTCTGTTTGTGTATAACTGTCTGTATCTTCGCATGACACGGCTTCCTCCTTAATATTGCTGGTTAAGTCTTCTAATTGCATGTGATTTTCTGGTGTGTAAATGTCTCTGACATTTTCACATAATAGGGATTTGTGTGACACGTATGGCATAGCGTTGGCATCTCCTTTCCCTGGTTTGCTGATTTTGTTTCCAGTTTCATCTTTGGTTTCAATATCAGGCAAAGAGAGAGGTGACTGAAATTTACCAAGTTCAGATGTATCTGTTTGAAGAAAATACACATTATTGTATGATAAATCATTTTGTAAATAATTCATTGTACATATAGGATAGTGATTAAACCTTGTCTTACCCAGAAAACCGAGCCTCTTGTGATTCTCATTTATTGCATCCTTGTAGAGATCCTTGTGTCCTTCAAGATACTCCCACTCCTCCATGGAGAGATGGACAGTGACATCCTCACACCTTATAGGAACCTGACACACACAATGAGACAGTCATCATCCAGTCACATCGCTTGGTTATACTGTATAATGTCCCATTCCCAGCAGCCTCACCTCTCCAGTCAGCAGGTGGATGATCTGATTGGTCAGTTCCAGGATCTTCTGCTCATTGTTTCCCTCATGCATCAGTGAGTGAGATGGAGGCACTGTGTTCCGAGAGGATCCTTGTGACACATGAGGACTGCTATTGTTTGTGGCTCACTCACAAGGCTTCTTCACAACCATATAATCCTAAATATGGACAATGACATTTCCAAAATTAGGATTTAAAGGGACACTCCACTGCCCAAATGCAAAATAAATATCACTGTTTAGTAGATACACTCCAAATGAAAACTTGCATGCATTTAATTATGTTTTTTAATTGGGTTATATATAAAAACAGTTTGCAAACCCTGCATTCCTCGTCTGCTGCCTTTTTTTATCATTAATACATTTAAACTAGTCCCCAAATCACTAACCTCTCTAATCAGTAAGTAGATGATATCCAGGGTTAAATCCAAGATCGTTTCAATTATCAGATTCTTGTCTTTGTTCATTATCACAATGTTCTAAGAATGGACCCTGGTCCCATTCACAACAGCAGGTTTGTACTCAGACATGTATGATCGGTTTTCAGTGTACACCTGTACGAACATAAATTCAATAATGCACTTGTAAATACGTCTGAACAAAGTGAAATATATTTAAAGCTTCAGTTCTCCTCAGATTGTGAGAGGAACAAATGGCAAGAACTATGGCTCCTGCCGGTGACATGATAAGTTCTATACACGTCTGTTTTAAAGGAACACTTCAGGCAGACTTCAAGAAACCTATCGCCATTTACATAGGAATCATATAGATAATGCATAAATATACACACTGAACAAAATTATAAACGCGTTTGTTTTTGCCCCATTTTTCATGAGCTGAACCCAAAGATCTAAGGCTTTTTCTATGTACACAAAAGGCATATTTCTCTCAAATATTGTTCACAAATCTGTCTAAATCTGTGTTAGTGAGCACTTCTCCTTTGCCGAGATAATCCATCCACCTCACAGGTGTGGCATAACAAGATGCTGATTACACAGCATGATTATTGCACAGGTGTGCCTTAGGCTGGTCACAATAAAAGGAAGATTTGACTGACAAATTAGAGCAGAAAAGACCACACGAGCGTAGTGGAGTTGCCCAAGAGGAGGAATAGAGTGAATTCAGGTACCGGCATGATACAATGAAACCAACGTAGTGGAGTTGCACAGGAGGTCACAGAAGCCAGGCGGAACAGAGAACGGACTGGAGGTGGCTGTTACACAACGAGTAACACCCATGATGCTCGGAAGATGGTAGCATGGGAATGAAGGGAAGGTACTTATATCTTGATAATTTACATTGAATACATCATGTATTTCTGTGAGACATGATGTATCCAATGTATTTGGAGCCAATTTCAGGTAAGTACATTTTTTCTCATTACAGGTTACTTTAATACGTTTTCCAACTGAATACGGTTAGAAATAAAATGAAGTATCTACAATAATTCCCACAGACATTCATGGTGACCTTTGTAGATAAATCATTTGAATGTTTTTCTAACCATATAGAATCATTTCGTAAGTTTATTAAATTGAGGCCTATATTTCTGAAATAAAAAGATCGGTTTGGACCAACTTGTCTGCTAAAGACTTAATTTCTTACCTGTAAAGATCTTGTTAATCTTTGGACAGCACACACAGACAGGCTCCACTTCGTTTATGTTGAACGGGAAGCTCAAAGCTCAATAAAGGGACAATCTAATTCCAAAGAAAATCCTCAGAGGCCTGAAAGAAATGCAAAACAAATGCATTTTGCTAACTACAAAAAGTAAAAACAAGTATTTATCAAAATTGAATATATAATATGGCATTGGTGCCCCTTAAGGGGAGTACCAATATTTAATTAATTTGAATTTTTGAGTGCCCCGCAACAATTTTTTTCATGTATGAAGTTTGGTCACTGCGGCAGAACCTTTCATGCAAAATGCAGGTCTCGGGTGTGCCCCCAATCCTTTCTCTGTACACAGTATATTTGGAATTCAGACCAGATTCCTTTGGGGTTAAGCACCCCGCCCAGGTCCCCAGCTTTAGAGGTGGCCACAGGTGTATATATAGGAGGAGTTTTCAATAGTCAGGCCACTTTTATTTTCTTGATTTAACACAGATATCATCTGCAATAGTGAGTATTTTCATTGCTTTCATCACTTTATTTTTGTATACTCACTTTGCTCTTACAAGGATTTAATAATACACTTTATTTTTAACACTAGTACTATTTAATTTGTCCCCCACATTTTAGCGTAGGACCCACCAACATTGGGGTACTTTGAAAGCAGTGGTGGGCTTTACATCATATGGCCACATGGTGGAACTATATCCCCATATTTATTCTTAGACAGGCAATTTAGAAGCCTTCTTTGTGTTGTATTTTTTGTAGTCTGAGTGCGCCGCAACTATTTTTTTTTCATGTATGAAGTTTGGTCACTGCGGCAGCACCTTTCATGCAAAATGCAGGTCTCGGATGTGCCTCCAATCCTTTCTCTGTACACAGTGATAATCTCAGTGTCTGACACACAGTCAGTGATAATCCCAGTGTCTGATATGCAGTCAGTGATAACCTCTGTGTCTGACACGCAGTCAGTGATAATCCCAGTGTTTGATACACAATCAGTGATAATCTGTGTCTGATACAGTCAGTGATAATCTCTTTGTTTGACACGCAGTCAGTGATAATCTCAGTGTCTGACACTCAGTCAGTGATAATCTCAGTGTCTGACATGCAGTCAGTGATAATCTCAGTGTCTGACACGCAGTCAGTGATAATCTCAGTGTCTGACACGCAGTCAGTGATAATCTCAGTGTCTGGCACGCAGTCAGTGATAATCTCAGTGTCTGGCACGCAGTCAGTGATAATCTCAGTGTTTGACACGCAGTCAGTGATAATCTCAGTGTCTGAGACGCAGTCAGTGATAATCTCAGTGTCTGACACAGTCAGTGATAATCTCAGTGTCTGACACGCAGTCAGTGATAATCTCAGTGTCTGACACAGTCAGTGATAATCTCAGTGTCTGACACGCAGTCAGTGATAATCTCAGTGTCTGAGACGCAGTCAGTGATAATCTCAGTGTCTGACACGCAGTCAGTGATAATCTCAGTGTCTGAGACGCAGTCAGTGATAATCTCAGTGTCTGAGACACAGTCAGTGATAATCTCAGTGTCTGAGACACAGTCAGTGATAATCTCAGTGTCTGACACAGTCAGTGATAATCTCAGTGTCTGACACGCAGTCAGTGATAATCTCAGTGTCTGACACAGTCAGTGATAATCTCAGTGTCTGACACGCAGTCAGTGATAATCTCAGTGTCTGAGACGCAGTCAGTGATAATCTCAGTGTCTGACACGCAGTCAGTGATAATCTCAGTGTCTGAGACGCAGTCAGTGATAATCTCAGTGTCTGACACGCAGTCAGTGATAATCTCAGTGTCTGACACAATCAGTGATAATCTCAGTGTCTGACACGCAGTCAGTGATAATCTCAGTGTCTGGCACGCAGTCAGTGATAATCTCAGTGTTTGACATGCAGTCAGTGATAATCTCAGTGTCTGAGACGCAGTCAGTGATAATCTCAG